GGTCCCGGTTCTCACTGGAAGAAGCCCAAAGAAAGAGGAGGGGGTTAGCGTGACCCGACAGCCCTAGAAGAGAGACCCTCCCTGCAGGGGCTGCCCAGCCTCACAGCGCAGAAAGGAGGAGGGGAGAGGAGGGGGAGGAGAGAAAGAGGGAGGGGAGGGCAGATGGATGGATGGAGCAGGGAGGGTTGTGCAAAGGAAGCTGCTTTTCAGCCAGAGAGACACTTAGTGCAGGAGGTGCAGGGCTCTGAACCAGGGGGACAAACTCTGCCCCCGGCCCCAAAAGGCGGAAAGCCCCTCGGTACAGAAAAACAACAAGGGAAAAACAGGAATTCTTCCCACGTCAAGCAGAAAAGAAGATTATGGAACAAGACCCAGCCTCAGGCGTTGGAGTGCCAGGCTCTGTCGGAGTTAACTGTCTGCCTCTAACGGGGCGTTTTTTAATCTCAGCAGCTTTAAGAGGAACGGACTTCAACTCCCAGCATTCCCCAGCTAGCCATGAGTTGAAGACCCCGCCTCTTAAAGCTGCCACGCTTGAGAAACACCGCTTCAGTGGCTACGGCCACTCTTCCACTTTCACATCAAGGGCCGGCCTGTTGCCTTGTTGACATTTCTGGGCAGCCTCAAGATTGAGATTTTGTTGTGTTATTTGCTGAATGTTTCGATGCTGAATGTTTTGTTGTATTATTTGCTGAATGTTTCGACGGGCATCTTAATGGGTAGCAAAACAAATTACAAAAGACAATTAAAAACCTCAGGCTCAAAATGCTTGGTGGTTGATTTGCAAGTCTGGCAGAAATCAGGAAAAATAAATACAAAATCAAAGCAAAATCCCAAGCCATTTCCTGAAACTGACAAATGGGATTTTAAAAAAACAACCCTTTTGCAATGAACTTAGTTCAGGGCGTTAGCAAATCATGAACTACAGAAACACACCTGGATGCCAGCGGCCGCTCTCTCTCCAGCCAACTGCTTTGCGATTGGAAAAGCCAGGCGCTTCCATGCATAATATTAAAAGGTAGCGAAACATCAAAGGCTCCTGTGTTGTTTTAATTAACTCGGCTTAATTTCAAGGCCAGGCTGGACTCCAATAAGCCGAGATTTTGCAAAGAATCGGGGAAGGAGGCCTGCTTACATTCGAACACGGAAAATGCCGTCTTGCTTCTTGGCAGGAGAGGCTCAAGGGATCCCCCTTCTCCTCGCTGTGCAAAAAATCTTACCTGGCGAACCGCTCCTTGTCCGTGGAGAGCTGATCATCCTCACATCTAGAAGAACAAGAAGGGGAAGGATGCCATGAAAGGGCCTGAAAGGGCCTGAAAGGGCCAGCGGGATGAATTTTTACCAACTGAAAAATCCCAGCTTCCCGGCATAAGGTTCTGTGAAGCCTCCCCTTCTCTCTGAACCGAGCTGCCCTTAAGAACGTGTCCTGTCTCTCCGGCCCTTGTTTTACCAAGACGGCCGCGGGAGGTTTCCAAGGAGAAACTGGACAGCCATTGATCTGGAATGGTCTAGGGTGTCCAGCAGGGGGCTGGACTAGAGGACCCCCAAGCTCCCTTCCAGCTCTGTTATTTGGTTTCCTGCCTCTGTCAATCCCAACTTCCTGGCCAGGAAATGGAAACGAATCTCACCTGAGAAATTTGCTGTTCCCTTCGCCATCGTCGTCAAACTCGAGCCTAAAACGCAACAGCAACAAAATCAGGGGTGGCGAGTGGAATCCTTCCGGGTCAGGCCCGGCCTTGAGCGGAGAGAAGGTCACGCCTCTTCCTTTGCCCCTGTTGGGGGTCCAGGACCCTACGGGCCTTAACCCTTCTTCACATACCCCGTCCGCCGCTTGCTGCTTCTCTGGCTGAGGCTTCCTGCGGCCGGTCCTGGTGTGCCCGAAGCTGCTCCCAAGGGAGACACGTCCGAGGCCATTTCTGGAAAGGCGGAGAAACGGGATGGTGGGCGAGCCGGGCAAGAACAGCCTCGGAGGGGCTGGGCGTTCGTTGGCAACGGACTCGTGCCCCCTTTTGCGACCTTCTGACCGGCAAAAGCTGGATTCGCTTAACAACACTGTTCCTAGCTTAACAACTGCAGTGATTCACTTAACAACGGTGACAAGGAAGGTCGTAACATGGGCCCAAACTCACTTTAACAAATGTCTTGCTTAGCAACAGAAATATTGGTTGTACGCTCGAGTGCTAGCTGTATTACGCCTCCAACACATAAAAACAAAGTCAAAGACTGATTATTTCTCCAGAAAACTAAAAAAAATAAGTTTCAGTTGCTGTATCCCATCAAGACATCACAGACTTGTTGGGCAGAAAACCCCCAGCCTGAGATCAATCAGCCTGTGGTTCCATTCAGTAGATTTCACTAAAGAGAAGAAAGGATGAAATACACGTGACCGATTATTATTATTTTTAAGCAGTATCTGAAGCAAGACCTAACTTTTTTTTGTCATCCATTCGATTACGGGAAGAGTCACACCAATTCACTGGGCTATGGAAATGAAGAAAGCATGCAAAGAGACCCTGAGGTTTTACTAGAACAGCTTGCTCTACTCCATTTGAATCGGAGGAAGAAAATTGATGCCATATGGAAATAAAGGCAAAATGCTGCAAACTCTGCACTGAATTATGGAGCGCAGATGAAAGAACTTTGCAGCAGGAAAACACAATTCCCAAAGGAGGGCGTTGGAGACGGCTTTGGTGGCCAGAAAATACCCCCCAAAGTTCCCCATACAAAAGAAGGCCCAACTTAATTAAATTGCAAAGATTGCAAAAGTAAAGAAACAATTAGGGGAACCACTTAAGCACTCTTAGAAGCTGCCCTCCCCCCTTTAAAAAAAAAAAAGATGAAAAAACTATCTGGAATCAGAAGAACACGAGGGATCCAACACCAGATTTCCCCAGAAGGTCTATAAACGGGGGAAAAAACCACAATTTCTTCCCAGAGAAGGATTTTAACTTCATATTGATAGCCTGGCAGGAAAAAAAGGGGGCAAGATTTGGACTTTTGAGAGACAATACCTCAATGGCACAGACAATGCCAAAAGAAAGAAAAAGAAGAAAAGATCTATTTTTGCTACACTTCATGGTAAATATTTACAGGCAGACGACTCCCTGGTTTCAAAACTGAACTGCAATCTGAAAAAAGAAGCATTTAAAGTAGCAATTTTGCAATAAGAAGAAGTCCTCCACACAACAACCCTTTCAAAACAAAACACGGTCGTTTTCAATCCTCAGGGCTGCCATCTCTCAGCTTCCACACCAAGTGCAAAAAGACTTTTTTTTTAAAAAAACCACTACAAATGCTCTGTCAAACCTGGGACTTTAAATCCGCGGCTGACAAGATCTGATGTTCCTTTCCAGAATGAGTATATTTTTGCAAAAGGGTTTTTCTGTCTCAAAACCCAGAAACAAAACATCCCAGGCCGGCCAAGCGCTGACGTATTCCTCCCAAGAATTTTCAAAACAGTAATTCTGTACACCAAGGTGGCTGGCTGGGGGGTTATTATCGCACAAGGCTCTCTAGGAAGTTTGAACGATAAAAAGCGACGTCACAGTTGATCCTATCTCGAAAGGCGCCCCCGAGTTCCAGTTATGAAGAGAACGCGGAATTACTGAAGTTCGATAAAAGTTCGATAAAAGTTTTGCTGAGCATTTTACCAATGAATTACGTTTCCATGCGAGCTTCTGGCAAGAATTTCTGAGGACAACAAAGGGGCTGGTTGGAGAAGTAGAAAGGTGGGCCTTGACTTACAACGGTTCATTTAGTGACCATTCAAAGTTACAACGAAGTTACAAGTGACTTAGGGCTGTTTTTCACCCTTGCTGCATCCACCTGTTTACAGGATCAAAATTCAGGCATTTGGCAACTGGTTCACCTTTATGACCGTTGCAGGATCCTGAGATCACGTGATTCCCCCCCTTGCGACCTTCTGATTCACTTAACAACTCTGGCAGGAAAGGTTGTACAATGGGCCAAAACTCCCTCAACAAATGTCTCGCTTAGCAGCAGGACGTTTGGGCTACCAACTGTGGTCGTAAGTCGAGGACCGCCTGTGCAGGCAAGACGCAGTTCGCTCTTTCTTTTCTCTACTTCTGGGCCAAAACCAAAGTCAAATTTTGCCCACAGTGGGAAAATACAACTGTCGAAAGACCCTTTTTGTTCCTTCTCTGGATATTTGTTCACTTGTATCCTGAGTTAAACAGCACCGTCTGGATTTTGCAATTGGACCCACTTCCAAGCAGGAAAAAAACCCCAGATTTTGCAATCAGGCTTTGCAAGGACAGAAGGAGATTTAATCAAGCTAAGCAGCTCTTCCGGCCAGGACCAGGAAGCCACCGCTGCTCTGGCTGGGAGCGATGGGACTCAGGGTCCTGACCATGGAGAGAAGGACCTAGAGGCCACCGCTGCTCTGGCTGGGAGCGATGGGATTCTGGATCCTGCCATGGGGAAAAGAACCAGGGAGCCACCGCTGCTCTGGCTGGGAGTGATGGGATTTGGGATCCTGCCATGGGGAGAAGGACCTAGAGGCCACCGCTGCTTTGGCTGGGAGCGATGGGACTCGGGGTCCTGCCCATGGGCTGGAAGGGCCGTCTTCAAGGGCCGCCCCACAAGCAATGCAGGGCGGCAGTCTAACGCATGCTGTCCTGCCAATGCCCAGACAGGCCCATGGGGCTCAAGCAGACTTGGCATGCCGGCTGAGGATTATGGGAGTTGTCTTCCAGAGCCTCTGGGGCCCTCCAGCTCTTCTGATGATGGAATGATGGAGCTGGAGGTCTCCCCAGGTGGGGGACCAACGGCTGGGGAGGATGGGAAGGAGGGTCTGGAAGAGTCACGGGGGCGCTGGCTGGGGAAGATGGGAAAGGGAGTCCCAGCTGGGACGCAGCAGGCAAGGAGAGTCAAGAGCCCCCCCCCGCCCCCTCCTAAGACCACCCCCCCTTTCCCCCCCCGAGGGCCCCCCCACTCACCCTGCTCCGCGGCGGCGGTTGCCATGGCTACACAGGCGGGCGCCCCCCCGCCCGGACTCCGCCGCCCCTCACTCGCGCCAGGTCCAAGATGGCGGTGGCGGGCGAGCCCTGCCGGGGCGGGGCCGAGGGGGCGGTGGCCGGAGGCAACGCGAGCTCCCATTGGCTCGAACCGCCCCGGGGGGCGTGGCCCACGGCGGCCGTCGCCGAGGAAGGGGGCGTGGCTCAGAAGTGGGGAAAAGGGACGCCGCGGGACACTCGAGCGACGGGAAGGGGGCGTGGCGAGGGTGACGTCATGGCCCAGCTGCTGACGTCGCTTTAAAGGTCCCGCGTCACGCTACTGTCATTCAAGGGTTGGCCTGGGGCTCCCATCGTCCTCAGCCCACCGTGCCCACCACTACAAGGCCCATTTGCCCCAGCCTAACCGTCTGGCTGGACCTGTTCAAATGCCATATGCTCTCGTGTCCTGTAAAACCACCATGCATCCCCCTCCTAATGGATCCCTTGGACAAGAAGCCCCATCATCCTGGGCCAATATGACTAGTGCTTCCTTATTTGCAAAGGTTTGGGGGCCACATCCCTGTGTGCTGCTGCCCCAAGAGAAGGGAAAGCCCACCTCTGCACACCTCCAAGGCCAGGGATCCTTTGGGCTGGTGGGGGAATGATGGGAGGTGTAGTCCAGCCCAAACCCCTCCCCTCTCTTAGGCTGGCCAGTCCTCCAATTGTGCCCTCCGCTGCCTAATGCTGTGCCAGAAAAGGAGACCCTGCGGTATGACCCTCTCTCCTCCGCCTTCCGTCCAGTTGCACCAACAAACAAGATCCAGACAGACGACCCCCAAAGACGGGGAAATCTGTTGCCAGTAGGCTCTTTGCACATGCTCAGGAGCACCGTCCAAACGTCTCCTCCCACAAGACCTGCTAGGGTCCCCCTTGGACAGCAGCGGGGGAGTAAAACAGATCCCACCCCCAGAGGGACCATCTCCGGCTCCTTCTCTCCCTTCCGCAGGGACGGCAAGAAACGTGATCCCGTATTGCAGCCCCACCTTCTGAAGTATTAATGATATTTCCAGGAGCAGCTCAGCAGCACAGACCAGGTTGTCTGGCGTGGCCTGGAGCCAAGGCCAAAAAGCAGCCCCCCCCCGGCTCTTCCGAAGGGCAAGGAACGGCCTTTGGGGTGCCAGGCGTGGATTCCCTGTGGATCGGAGGGGATCCCTGGCGCTTTCCAATGAGAACCGTCCCATTCCCTGCAAGGCCTTGAGCCTCGGACTCAGATTTTCCGTCTGCCTGCTGGAAACCTTTTGACCAGGTTGGTGCCAAGCAGATTTAACAAATAATCAGAGTTGGAAGGGATCTTGTAGGTCATCTAGTCCAACCCCCTGCCCAAGCGGGAGACTCTACACCATTGCTGACTGATGGCTGTCCATTCTCTTCTTGAAAGCCTCTATGGATGAAGCTCCCGCAACTTCCGAAGGCAACTTCTGTTCCATGGGTTGAATGCTCTCACTGTCAGAACATTTCTCCTTATTTCCAGGTTGAATCACTCCTTGTTCCATTGTTTCCATCCATTGTTCCTTGTCTGGCCTTCGGGTGCTTGGAAAATAGCAGACCAAGCGTTATCCAGGCTATGGAAAGTCCCACGATGGAGCCCTTTGTGGACCTGGACCAAGGCATCTGCCTCGCCTTCCTCTCCCTAATGGGTCTGTTCCTGCTGGCCATGATGGTGAGGTGTGCCAAGCTGATCGTGGACCCTTACACAGCCATCCCCACCTCCACCTGGCAGGAGGAACCTCTGGACTGATCACCTGACAGTCACGGAAAGGTCTGGTGGGGAGTCCAGGAGGGTGGGAAAGCAGTTTGGCCATTTTGGGGGGGGGGGCTGCTGGAGGTTGGGCAAAAGGAGGCAGATGATTAGCAGGAAATTGTCGAGCGAGAAAACCCACCCGGGAAGGAAAGGTCAAAAGACGTGGCTTCTTTTTTTTTCCTGCTTCTGTTCAAGTTTAGGGTGGAGACTCGTCTCTGCTTGCAAGATGTAAAAGCAAAATAATAATAATAATAATAATAAATTCTCCAGCGTTCTATTTCTGTTTCATTCTGAGAAGCGGCCTCTGCAGCATTAGCTGCCTTCTTTCCCTTTATTGATCAATGAAGTTTTATGTGTAACTTATTCACTCTGCATATAAAAGCATTCATTGAATCTTTCTCTGGACTTTTCTTTCCTGTTTATTTGTGCGTCCTATAACCCCAAAGGACACTCTAAGCTGCATTATCTCCTCCTTGCCCAGGGAAGCCAAACGGCTCTGCCGAATTTAAAATTTAAAATTTTCTTTTCTTGAAAAGCAAAGCTGCTGTCGTTTATTTAAATTTTTTTTTTAAAAAAAAAGCAAAACAAAAGAACTGAGCATGCGCACTGCTTCCTCTTACTGAAAGGCGGGGCCTCTGTTCTTTCATTCTTTCGCAACCAAGGGCTTCGACGTGCGCCTGCGCACCGCCCGCCTCCCTCCCAAGGGCGCATGCGCA